TGCTTGCCACGGAAGTGCCGCCTATCGGCAACTATATTGTGCAGATATCCAAACAAACCTTGAAACGAGTTCTTTTTCTTTTCCATTGCAGCGGTGGTAACTCTATCTTTAGCGGCAGATGATTGAGGCTGGCAGAAAGGTGGTAGCGACTGACTCTTCACTTCTGACGAACTGCCGAAGTATGAACGCAGCAGTGTCCAATGATTCCCAATAGGATGCATGTAAAATATTCGGTAACGCAGATGAGGGGAGAGCAACCATTGCTGAAATATCTAAAATCAGATAGCTCATGAGATGAAAACGATTGAGAGCGCTCCGAGATACAAGAGAGGAGGGTAATCCTGATTATCAGTCAAACAAACTCTCTTAGCTGTGCACATCCCGGTCTGCCCACCGGGCCGTTATAATACCCTTCGTATCAGACGTTGTTCGAATGATTTTTCTACGTCTTTAACAAGTGGGAAACATTTGAAAGAAGTGAATGGTCGAAGGCATAACCGTAGGTTAGGAATCTATTGAATCTTTCGGACCGGACAGGCCCCTCGCGCGGTGAAAAGGGCAGACGACGGAGACTGGTAGGAGATCGGTCGCAGCGGTACTGTTAGCGATTAACGGTCGAAGGCAAGTAGAATGAAGTCGACACGTATCACGTCCCATATAGCAATGCGGGCTACGACTCATCCCCCGACCCGTCTGCAACTCCGCCTTTTCGCCCGCGACGGGCCTCCTGTCGGGTACGCGGCATCGCTAGGCCAGCTAGCATTGTCAGTAATCCTTTATTTTGTCAAAAATAATGTGCTGCATTACCTGTAGGACAATAGAGAGCATGATCCATACGTTTGCTACCCCATAAAGGTGTGAGATCGACCGAGGAATCAAAGTATATAGGGGCGACCGTCTCCCACGGGGTACCGCTGGTATCTGAAAGAGGTGAAATTTAGATTAAAGGAAAACTAGTTTTGGAGAGTTCTTATTTCCGTCAATCAAATGATACACTAGGGTGATTGTATGTTTACAACTGAATTTCATCAATGATATAAAATGGAAAATTGAAAACGTTGTGTTAGTCGTGGATATCAAGGGAACGCTTCTGAAGGATTTGATCTACTCTAGAGTGCGCCACGCATTTGACTTCGTTCACCGCATCAAAGACATGAAGAAGCTAGGTATCATTAACCTGACTTTAATTTTACTTGTTGTATATTGAGGATTTTTGAAGTTAGACCTAAATCTTATGTAAAAATTATACATAATCTTGTCAAACTCCATTCTATTGCAATGAAGGCGCTAACCTCGGAACGTTAGCAGGTTGAAGTAGGCTGAGGTGCGGGTTAAGGACTGGCTCCAGCCGAGCACCGCACGGATCAAGCGGGTAGTATAGGTTGAACACTTGACATACTTCCAGCGGATCGATGTCTAGAAAGAATTGGATGACAATATGATGTTGTCAAGCCTTGTTAGTGAAACATTACCATATCCAAGCAACTTTCGTTGCGTGAGAACCAAACCGAGCGGACACCCCAGAAGGAATGCCGTCGAAGGTTGGAATATGATGCGGGTTTGGACCTTAACAAAACTTTACTCAATCATTTTAGAGCTTATTTTGGTCTCATTTTTCTGATCCCTCTCCAGTAGAATCTCCAGTGTTGGTCAGGAAGAGAACTCAAGAGAACTACCATGACACTATCAATAGACGCGGACCCAAGAGATGCTTTCTTTTTCGAGGCAGCTTGAGGAAGAAGTGCTGGACTGATTCGAGCGTTCGCAGACTTGATTGACGGTGATTTTTGAATGACTGGCTCGGGATGCAGTGATGGATATATGTGATTGGACATCTAAAAAGTATGACTTAAAAAAGCTGTATACATCGGAAGACGGTTTCATTCTTCGTTGCCATGAGGTGATAAAAAAGCCTTTCTTCATGGACTGGATATCACATACACTAGCCCAGGTGGCGCCGCACTTTGCTGCGCGCACAAAACAGTTCTGCAGCATATGGAACGGTGCGGCAAAAATTCTCAATACAATCCGATACATCAGAAGTAGCGCCCGCCTAAACTTCCCTTCTAACTTGTTCTTCTAAGCTAGACTTCAGCTGTCTTCTCAGTCTCCGTGCTATCTCTGGACCATATTTCCACCTTCGATTTTGGCTCCGCCCGCCACTTTGTACGCCCCGCCCACAGATGGCTTTGAACCTTCTTCCTTTGTCAACATTGTTCGCTTTTTTCCGGTCTGGATTTCTTGTGTGGTTTCCTAAAAGATTTCTTAAACGATTTATAAGATTTGTTGCAAACCCCGCCCACTTCCGGTTAACACACTTCCCCCAGAAATTCCTGGAACCGAGTTACGAAGTTTCGCGGCAAACTCCGCCCTTTTTGCATGCCCCGCGCGCCAATAGCAGTGGCACTCCTCCTTCTCTGACCTCTATCCACCTTTTTCCCGCTTTCAAGGACTTCTGGGACCCGAATTATGAGGACTTGTAGAAAATGCTGTTACTTCAGGACACGCTCCGCCCATTGTGGGCGGGCCTCCGCTCACGTCATGTATGCTGGGAAACACCTTAGACATTGCTCCCCTACACCAATTTGTTTTCTGCTCTGTAGGCTTTCTCCCAACCGAGTTATGAATTTTTCATAAAGCACTGCTTTTTTAGAGAACGCCCCGCCCACCGGGGGTGGGTCTCCCTAGTTCGATTTGACTTACCAATGCACACCTTATGCCCACTTTCCCCGGTCTCGAGGCTGTTTTGTGACTGAATTTGAAATCATGGTCTTCAGTACCACTCATTTCGATGCACGCCACGCCCACTGTGGGCGGGGCTCCGCTTAGCTGATGTATGTTTTGTACTTCTCGAGAATGGCCCACATTCCACACTTGACCCGGTCTCTCCAGGCGGATTTCCAGGAGCTAGGGAATTTTGTGACAGACACCGTGGCAGAACGACAAACTGACGAAGCGCTTTATAGTAACTAGGATACTACGTCATAGACCGTTTCAGCCATTGGCGGAAGTAATTAACTTCATACCTAAAGTTGAACGAAAAGCGAGTGGGCCCTTAAGTCACAGCAGCAACTTTTGAGAACACCTTTTCGGGAGCGATTCTCGATGGAAAGCGCACTTGATCAGAGTAACAGAAGACGCTCCTAATTTGAAGTTCCTTTGCTCCTAGCCCTTGCGCTCTGTGCACTAAATGTGCTAGTAAGTATTCAAATAGCGTTACAGGGTGATGGGTGCAAGGCCAAAATCGAAAAATAAAAATAAAATGAATAAAAATGAAAAGATTACTTGCTCCACTTACCCCATCGGTTTCCCCGATGCTCGTTCTAGAGTTGCAGTTAGTTACTCGTGTTTTCACATCATATTTAGTCAGCGCCTCGTAGAGCAACAAACCTCCCAGTGTGTCGCCAACCACGAAAACCTAAAAGATTAATTGAAACTAATGAAATATTCCCAGCAAGGGATGCCCATATAATAATTCCTTTTTTTGTGAGATTGCTTATCAGCACTAAAATGAACTTATAGTCCGCTTCCCATGGCACGGCCTGGCCTAGTTGCAGACCAGTGGCAATTGTCTCGCAAACACGAAAGAAAAAGCTTTCTGAGGCTTCTGATGCTATTTGATGGCACATGTGCGTGGATCAAGAAGTTCGTGGAGAAGACTGAGAGTCTATTCAAAATGGATCTTTTCGCATATTATTGGGGTACGGATGTGAAACACAGGAATGCGATTTTGTTTGAAGCTCAGAAGGGGCCTGAAAACACTTGGGGGAAAAAAAAGCATGAGAACCCTTCCTAGGAAGCACAATTTTTGTATTTTATACATTACGTGCTGCGTGCGATTCAAGCTTTTTATATGATTGATTTGACAATTCTCAATGTTCCTGATCTGTTTGCACTCGTTTTTCAGAGCTGGAGACAACACATTTCATGGAATTGTTGATAGATAAAAGATCATTCATTTTCGAAAAACATAAAAAAGGCACGGAGATAATGGGTTCCGCAATGTGTTAACACATTGCTTAGCAATTATCGAAGGTGGTGTGAGTAACAAGTGACGTCACTTCCCCACTCGGAGGTCGAATCCCGGATGGAATCTCCTAGGAGGTAAGCGAGGCTTCCATCCATTTAAACCAACCATCTTATACCAGACCTCTGTCGAGAGGGAATAAAATCATTGAAGTGTATATGGGGCGCTAAAGTTCAGGAACTACTCGTTTCGAAGATATTCAGATACTTTCAGATACTATATTAGGTTGTTGCAATATAAATACCCTTTTGGGTGGGGTGTAACTAAAATTTTGCGAGTTAGCAGCAGTCGGCCTTAAGAACAGAGATGGATCCAAGTTATAGCATAAGGCTTCGCCATTCTCGCACAGAGACTCGACTTCTTCTCAAAGAATTGGATTAGCTGTGCGCTGAAAAACTTGTCTTTCAAGGTCGGAATTTTTTGTAGTCTTAGGTTCGTTCTTCCTTCACAACGTCTTACGTTGATTGGCTTGGCTAAACAGCACTTGAATGAAGTATGACAGGAGCTCTTTAGCTGAAACTCAGGCGTCTTATCTGAGGCCCTTGCTCTCTCTTCGCTTGCTTGCTCTTGCTGATGTATTTGTTCCGTGAGGCGCACTTCAAGTGTGGGTGCGACTAGGGGGCTGTGCGTAATCGTTAGTTTCTTCACTTGCCGGGATCGTACGGTTTAATGAAAGTGGTTTTGGTTGCAAAAAAGAACCGTCACCGCGCGAGCTGAATTCAGCGTTTCGAGATGTCATGGAACGTTTAAGTGTTGACTTGGGAATTTCGGTTAGTCACTGTTCAAAAGAAGAATTCAAGTGAAAAAAAAAACAAAATGACAGGGGCCAAAAACTAATCACTTTTATACTGTAACTGTCCTCATTCCAATGGATGCACAAGTACCTCTGAAGATTGAAACGCAGCCGCCTGGTGTGAAAGGTGCGACATTCTCATTGCAACAACTTAATGTATTATACACTAAAAGGATAAAAGGATAAAGCATTTGCCGTTGATCAATCCCTTTTTGGGATGCGGCACGCATTCTACTTCCATTTGTACATTCGCAGTGGCATTTGAATGCGATGTGGCCTATACAATGACTTGCGGGGGCCAGCCGATGTTCAAGTCAGTGTTTTTATCCTCCCAGACAAGTCTGGTACCAATTAACCGACCCCGGAGGGATGGAAGGCTTGGTTGGCCCGGGCGACTCACGACCCAGGATTTGATCCCGGACCGCTCGCGTGGTAAGCGCGCCACTTGTCACTACACCACTTCCGCCCTGTATTATACAGTAGCACAAGAAATTGAAAATAAGAGAATTCCGAAAAATTGCTGCAGAGAGGAGTCAAACGACAGGCTGTTATTTACGCTCCTTCTATGGCATTAGCGCTACTCAGATAGTAAACCCCATCCATGTGCCTTTATGACACGTAAAAAATCGTTTTGAAAGAGCTCTTTTTAGACATTCCCAAGTCTGCAATTACGACAAGACCAGCGACGAGAAGCTGAGCGTACTTGAGCTTTTGACCCTTTCCTCTTAAAGAGCCACACTTATTTTCATATCATTGTGAACAACAGTTTTCATTCTGTTAGACCTTGGCCTTGTTTAGCCTCCTTTCGATGTATATTTACGCTCAGCGTGGATTTATAAGTGAATGAATTTCAATGAACTAGTCACCTCGCCATTGAACTGCGGTTGGGATTCAACAAACTCGGTGTAGGCCTCATTCGCCCGTCGTATCGTTCCTTCGATCGCCTGGAAAAACAAGCTTTTTCGGCAGATAAAGAGAATTCCAAATGTGTCTTACATCGTGATAGTGACTTTGTGCGCTTGATATGATCAGTGCCATTGATGGATGAAGGGCTCCAAACGAGGATGAAATTGATGACAAACGATTGACGACCGGATCGAGTTCGGATCCACATGACACCATCAACACATGAACTCGCCCTCTCAGCTGTGGATAATGTCGTTGAACGAGCGAGTCGATCGTGGACCTGCTAAACAAAGGGTTGTTCGCAACTCACAGGACGATTACAGCGCCACGGCTGTCGCGAAATTTGCAACTAACCAGGAAGGTCTTTCAGGGCGTGACAAGCTTTTTGAAAACGGTCTTTTGCATGATATAGGGGCAGATGGAACCACAGAACCATGTTCAATTTTTCCTGAACGGCCCTCTGAATACCAGAAAAGGAGGTCCCTAGTTCGATTCCTCGTGGTAACAAATTTTTGCATTTCGAGTTGACGTGCCAAAATTCGCGCAAAATGGAGTTAGAACCAACCAGAACAATCAGAACTCCATTTTGCGCGAATTTTGGAACGTCAACTCGAAATGCAAAAATTTGTCACCAAGAGGAATCGAACTAGGGACCCCCTTTTCTGGTATTCAGAGGGCCGTTCAGGAAAAATTAAACATGGTTCTGTGGTCCCGCATCTGCCCCTATATCATGCAAAAGACCGTTTTCAAAAAGCTCGTCACGCCCTGAAAGACCTTCCTGGTAAGTAACAATGCATGTTAACAGAAGTGAGTCCTCCAGAAAAGCGCTGCCTTCGATATTTTCCGGTTTCGGACTGATTTGGGAATGATAACATGTTGCTTGCCGCTCTAGTGTTTTATCCAATCTTAGTTCAGCTCTGTCCAGGCCTTTTTTTGCCATTTTCAGCCACCGCACTTTTCACAAACCTGACATCTCTTTCGAACCTTTTGCGCTAATTGAACCACAGTATTTCGTACACGTCAGCTGAAGTTTTCTAGCAGCCTTTCCTAGTCTTTTCACAGATCTAATGCATAAGTACAATAAAACAAAACGTCAACGGAAGGGAAGAACACTTTGATATTTTTATCCTAAACAGCCCGCACTTTCTCATTTTTCGTCTCCTTTTGATACTTTTCTTAGCTTAATGTTACCGCGAAACTCGAGTTATCCACAGCAATTGAGGAGTAATCTATTTTCGTGGAACACCCCTTGAACCAAGGACCCAGGAACATCGCACAGCTGGAACAGCTTGTCCATCAAGCTTTGCATTCCAGACCTTTTTGAAAAAAGCACTTTGTCGTACTGAGGCAAGTGACTTGGGAATGGCGAATCCCTCGGCAGAAGTGCAAAAGATAAAGTAGTGCATAGGCCAATCAGTATCGCTTGCTTTCGTCTGATAGAAATGTTCTGACACTAGAGAGTAAAGATTACTGGCTCACCTGAAAGTGTTCGTGTCGTTCGTCCTCGCATCGACTGGGTTATCCAGAGAGAATTCTCCATGAAACACCATGATCAGTAAAGCCGCGCCATTTGGACCGTGTGGGGTTAAGGGAGGCGAGTCTGCATATGTTTAGATCTCGTTAAGGTACTCAAAATCTCAAACAACTCAGAAGATAATTTCAAGGCGGAGTTTACGATTGAAAGGCAGCCCATCAGTAATCAAGGCAGAGGTGGTTAGTGGATGCAGGATGAAGAAAAAACATGAGAAATGGCCCAGAACCCAAAATGGACTCCTTTTTGTCCAATTTCCGCACTGATGCAACTCCCATCGGTGCTGCCCTCTTAAAGCCGAGCGCTCACTTTGCTAAGGGCTAGAGTTAGAAGGCCCGGAGTGGGCAGGCAGCTGTGCAAGCGGCCGTGGGATGATCCTACTAGGCCGCTGAGGCATACCCTTCGCCGAAAATTGTGCATTCCGCCCCCGTAGACCCCCCGCCTGCATTTTGACCAGGTATTATTCCTTTCTCCGACCTACACTTTATCGTGAAAATCTCTTTACTGATTCATTCGGACTGAGTGTACAACGTATACGCAACCCTGAGAAATGTGCAGGTTTTGTACAACAGGAATACCTTAGTACTTCTAGCTATAAAAGGATTCTACTTGGCGGTTGATAAATCTCTTCCTTGATGAGCCACGCATTCTACTTCCGCATGAAGACATAGTGATATTTGAATCGGACTTGCCCGATCCATCTAATAGGGGATTCAGCCGATGTGCAAACCAGTCTTTTTGTCCTCCCAGACGAGTCTGGCAGCAATCGACCGATCCTTGAGAGATGGAAGGCTTGGTTGCCTCTGGACGGTACCAGTCGGGATCTGATCCCCTTATCGTGCGCTTGGTAAGCACCACCGCTTGCTATCACGTCACTTCCACCCACTCTTAAGAAGTATAAGGTGGAAATAAGAAGAATCTTCAAACCACAATCGCTCGCGTCGAAGTTTGCCCATTACTCAAGTTTTCGATGGAGAGCATGACTACCCTCTGAAGAGAAAAGCTCTCAGATGCAGACCACACACTATAAATGACGACGGCCAAGAAAAAAGCTACTTTTTTATTTAGCCGTCATTTGCGTGGTGTGGTCTGCACTCGACGCTCTTCTCGTCTTCCGAAATACGAGGATGCTGCATTAGGAAAATGGAGCACTCTCACTTATTAAAGGTGTATTTTTTTTATTTGGACTTTCTTCTTAATAGGAAGACTTCTCAAGCTACTGACCACTTTTTTCGAAATTTCAACTTCTATCTCTTTGTTATGTCCTACATTTTTCTTTTGAGAAGGAAAAGTTTGAAGTTTCCTCGCAAGAGGAAAATCGGGGAACTTTTGTAATTTTTCTTACGTTCATCAACAATCTCCAATTCGAGTTCCGAGCTCCATCGAATTATCGATGGCTTGTGGTTCAGTGAGGTACCGTCGCTGCAGTCGAAATAGAGATTGTCAGACGAGGCGTCAGAGTCCTCAGCAGCTTCGTCATTCCTGAAAATGGTCAAAGACTTATTGAATGGCAAAAAATGAACCCGAATGATTCGATGCGTTGAAGAATGGGGCATGTATGGATATTGTTAACTTACTGCTCACCACAGAAAATTGTAGATAAACCTCGCACTCTCACAAGGAAGGTGAAGATTGCTTAATGTGTTTTTGGAAACCGAGATTATTAAAGTTGTTGTTCCTATCTACTACACGACGTTAATGAAGCTACTGAGGTTTTTGTTTTATAAACATCCGCGGTTATAAACAACCGAAAGAAGGACTAAGATGGCGATCTGTACTTTCAACGCACGAACGCTTGCATCCGAAGCTCACATCGAAGATCTGATGATGCAGGCCAGGAAGATCAAGTACGACGTCATCGGACTGACCGAGACGAGAAGGCACCGCCCGCTACACGCCGTTTTCGATACTGGAGAAGAACTGTTCCTTGGAACATGCGACAGCAGAGGCGTTGGCGGTGTGGGTGTCCTCGTCAACACGCACTTGGCCATAAACATCGATTCGTACGAAAGCCTTACGACCCGAATCGGACGTTTGAGATTGAGAAGATGTGGTTCAACTCCTGCTTTGACAATCTTCGTCGCCTACGCACCAACATCGAGCTACGACGAGGAGGAACACGAAGCATTTTATATGGAATTGGAGAAGTTCTACAAGGAAGATCATACCTTCTTCAAGGTCATCGTCGGCGACTTCAACGCCTAAGATTGGCCCAAGAAGAACGGCTGAAGAACTTCACATCGGTACTCACGGAATGGAATGGAATGAGCAGGGTGAGAGACTGTCGGAGTTTATCATGTCGACCAACACCATCCATGGTAACTCACAGTTCCAAAAGCCCCCTCACCTTCGTTGGACTTGGGAGTCACCTGATGGACAGTTCCATAACGAGATAGACCACATCATCTTCAATCGAAGGTTTGCCTGACCGACGTCGCTGTTGTTCCGAAGTTCTACACGGGATCGGACCATCGTCTCCTCCGCGCAAAGATTCCACTTCTCGATGCGTGTTGAGAGAGCCTCAAAGTTCAGGAAGCGAAGCCCCAGGACAGTCATCAACTGGGATCACTTCACTTCTCTTGTCAGCTTATGGGAGGATTCCGTTATCGAGAACATCGACGAGGAATATCATCGGCTCGTTGAACACCTTCACGAGAGTGGCAGGAAGGCAGAGAGTTTGCAAGTCACCAAAGGACGTCTGTCTACGGAAACTCTCGAGCTGATACGCCAACGTGGAGCCGCACGAGCTGCAGGCAATCACCAACTCACGTCCGAGCTTGCGAAGCTATGCAGAGAGGCGATAAAGGAAGATCTCAAGGAGCGAAGAGCAGCAGTATTAGCTGAAGCAGCAGAGGCTGGGAGGAGCATCCGCAATGCCCGCCGAAGCTTTGCCAGCTACAAGACCAAGATGACCTGCCTCCGACGTCCGGATGGAACAGTTACTGCATCCCGAAGGGCAATGGAGAAAGTCATCCACGACTTCTACTCGGATCTCTTCGATAGCCATGTCCATCTGCCCACTTATCAACTGCAACAGGATGGATACGTCGTCCCCTCAGTACTCTCTTCCGAAGTCCGACACGCCATCAAGTCGGTGAAGAATCGTACAGCACCCGGTCTCGACAGGGTCAAACCGGAACATCTGAAGAATGCGCCGCCAGTTATCATCAAAACTCTGGCTCGACTCTTCACGCGCTACCTGTCGGAATGCAAGGTACCCACTCCGTGGAAAACCAGCAGGACCGTGTTGCTGTACAAGAAGGGAGACCTGGACGACATTGGCAACTATCGCCCAATCTGCCTGCTGTCTGTAATCTACAAGCTATTCACTCGAGTCATCCTTAACAGGATCGGCAGAATACTAGATGAAGGACAGCCATGCGAGCAAGCAGGGTTTCGAAGAGGGTTCAGCACGATCGACCATATCCACACGGTTACAAGACTCATTGAAGTTTCACGAGAGTACAAGATGCCGCTTTGTCTCACGTTCATCGACTTGAAGAAGGCCTTCGACTCTGTGGAGACAGAAGCGGTCATCGAAGCCTTGGGCAACCAGGGCGTCCCTACTCAGTACATCAAGATTCTTCGTGAGCTCTACAGCAACTTTACGACCAGAATCTCACCATTCTACAAGGAGGTCATCATCGACGTCAAGAGAGGCCGTGATCAAGACCATCAAATACCTCCACAGATAAGGCATCAACAGGAACGGTTTCAACGACTTTTGTTGACAGGCAATGTAAGTGTGCGATGCTCTTGGAGCGACCAACCAACGTCCAGAAAATAGCTTCTTAGTCATGGCTAACCCACTTTTCGATGGCATGGATAAAATTCCGATTTGAGTAGAAATTTGTCTCCAGATAAGCTTACAGCTCCTGGACACGATTAATGCACTCGTTTGTCATCTCGAGCAGGTGGGTCGTGCTTTGCATGCGTTTTAGTGTCTTAAACTCAAAGTGATAAAGTTCAGGAACTTTTTCAAAAGTCAAACTACCTCTGAACGACAATGGAAGATTCAAGTCAGCAATGTTTTGTGACAATTCACAGAAAAACAGGCGGCCGAATTCGATCTTACTATTAATTAGCAAACACGAAAGACAGGTTTGCAATCGTGTTCGAAATGAACCAGATGGTATAAATCGCATTTCTAACGGCCACTTCAATCCCCCATCTTCTGTTCTTGAAAGACTCGCGGAATAACCAAAATATGCCCGAGCTAGATACGTTTTTACGTAGAAAATTAGTGTCTCACGCAGACTGGCTTACAGATACTCTATTGTTCTATAGAGATGTTTGTCAGCGCTGTATACATATCGGATTAGGAAATAATCTGTCTACATAAATTCCACCGTGGATGATTGTAGTAATTAAGCTTGCCACCAAGACTGACAATAACGTTCCCTCAGTTGTTGACAATTTTTCGTTATAGTTTTCTCTTACCCATTATAACCACCAGGTTAGCAAACGGTATTGGGTTACGAGCCTAATCACTAATCAAACTCGAGCTTATCCTGGAAGTGATTGAATTCCATTGATATTTTCTGACGATGCTGATGGAGAATAGCATTGCAGAGTTTTTTGATGATAAGCGTTGAAATCCTAGGGTCTCATCCAGTAAGGGAGGAGGGGGCATGTGGTGCGACAGTTCATATTGCATGAAGTAATCCACTTTTTCAGGGGAGGGAAGCTCCGGGGTGGGTGTAAAAGTTAAGCGAAATGGTTCACGCACCCCGGGGATTCCCTCCCCTTGCAAAAATTGGAATTTCTGTAGCCGGCAAGAACTGTCACACCACATGCCCCCCCCTTACTGGATGAGACCTAAATCCTATCTAGAATTCATCAAAACGAATGTGCAAAGTCCAACTTACTCTTTTGCCATAACACGGCTGAGAGATGTTCAGCTGCTTCAGCTTCCACCGTCTGATGTCAGTCATGGTCAACCCCACCCACTCGTCTTGCCATGCCCACGCCTGTCGATGTGCTCTGAGCATTGTGTTCCTCAGCGCCAAATCGTGGATCCATCGCTCAGCCCTTGTCTGAAATAGTAAAAACTGCTCGCTGTCAGCTAGAACTCAGGGAGTTGTGTGAGCGAGATGTGCACAAATGGGCAATTTCGATTTCAAGATGTGTTGTGCGCAAAGTTATCAAATAGTCAAATATATGATTTGTTTTGTTTGTCAATCAATCAAATCAAGTCTAAAACTGTGCTGAAGCTTTCAACCTTACTACCGACTTCGGCCCAGCCTCATCACGTTATACGCGTCTGTGCTAACAAAAGTAGGAAGATAATAGCATTCAGCCTATATCAGTCCCTTTTGGGATGCGCCACGTATTCTACTGGCATCCAAAATCATAGTAGCATTTGCGATATGCTGCACAATGAGTTGCAGAAGCCAGCCAATGCGCAGTCAGTGCTTCGTAATCTCGGCCATTCGAAATGGTGCCAATGAAACATCGAAAGGTGGAAGACTCGGTTGGTCTGTGGTTGGTCTAGACGGCGCAAGACCTAGAAATCCTTACAAGGGAGGTCTTTCAGGGCAAGCCGCGCTTTTTGGAAATGGTTTCTTGCATATTGTAGGGACGCATGTATGGACCACAAAACCATGTTTCGTTTTCGCTGAACGGTTTTAGTAGTATCAAAAAAGTGGTGAATGATACCCTTGATGGTTCGATCCCCGCGGCGACTAAATTTTGCAATCAAGGTTGGCGGCCACTTGTTGGCTTCAAAATGGTCCTGACGATGAATTGTGACACCTGATTGTGACATTTGGCACGATTTGGCACCAATTCGAAGGCGCCAACCCAAATGCAAAATTTAGTCGCCACGGGGGATCGAACCATTAACAGTACCTTATGCTTCTTTTTTGGTACTGCTAAACCGTTCAGCGAAAATGAAACATGGTTTTGTGTTCCCTACATGCATCCCTACAATATGCAAGAAACCGTTTTCGAAAAAGCGTGGCTTGCCCTGAAAGACCTCCCTTGTTAGAGCGTGGCTCGGGGTAAGCGACAACACCGTCCAGTATTCACTTTCACTTATGTGGGTACTAATAAGCTACTGTAAAGTCAACAATGGAAAGAGTTAATTGAAACATCTTCTTTCTGGTGAAATCGATGGCTCAATCGCTTGGAGAGCGAGAGAATCGTGTTCGTTTCCTTATTGGGCACACGGTGTTCTACCCAAAACGCAGCATCCTTTTGACAACTGCCATATAAACCGTTATTAGAGAGTAGTAGTAGTAGTGGTTAACTTGGAAAGTTCTTATTATTTCAAGTTTCATTCTCATCTGAAGTGTTGGTCCATCCCCTTGTTACCTATGTTATTTAGAATATAAAACGTTTGAAAACATCTTTACATAGAAAGAGTATAGAAATACTTATAAGCAATAGAATTGAGATTTCTAGTCAAAACTGTTGGTGTTATGAAAAACCAGAAGACTAACCTGTAATCCCCAATACCGGAATTCGACGCGACACATCTTATAAGCGCACATTACGGGTTTCCCTAAACAAGTTATGGTATAATATGGCCTTGTGCTTTCATCTGAGCTACACGGTGCTGAAGTTGAGAATTATCATATGATGAAATGCTTGTCATTGTTGATCCATTTTCATGGAAAGAAAATCCTAGGAAAGACAACAGGTAGTAACCTTGGTTGAAAGAGCTGAGTTTGACGCTACCGCAAAACGGGGGGAAGGAGACGTGGGACGCATCGCGGCTGCAACGCCTTTAAAGCGTACCAAAAACTTTGAGGTCTGTTCAAAACAAATCCTTAGAGAGGTGCGATTCCAAGCTAGAAATTTTCATTTTTCTTGAAGTCCTCTCGCCCCACTCTCCTAGGCACAATGCATCGCTAGAAATTTCTAACCTTGGGGTTTTCCCAAGCCATACTATCTAGGTCATATTTTCAACCACGACGGTTGAGCAAGCATACATTATTTTCGTTATTAGAACAACTACAATCACCTGTTCGAACGCACTCGTTTACCCAATCCTCGTTTAGTGGTCCACGGCCAGTTTTCTGACTGCGGTAGAGTTTGGGGTCCTCCTCAGGACAATAGTCGTTGGAAGAAATTGGATCCTAAGTCAACCCATGGATTAGGCTAATGGAAGAAAATAGATAAGGAGTGCATCATAAGTACCTTAACAAAGTCCATCATATCCACGATACGGTTCTTCAGGTCCTCAGCATTCAAATTGAAAACGTTGTTCTGATTTCCGGGATCATTGAAGTACATCGTTTCTACTTCCAGACTGAATCGATCCATCATCGGAGTCGAATACCTGAAAGATGATAGTCAATACAGAACTTAGGCGTCTATGTTTGTTGTCCGATATTAGTTAGCAAGTAGCGGCTAAACCCAGAAGATTCGTATAAGAGATTGGATGGCCATTCTCCATGCAATCTCGTTAAAAGGATCTCTTGGAAGCCGCCATTGTGAAAAACGGGCATCTCATCAGAGTAAAAGCACATTATGAGTAACCATATAACTAAAGGGTGCGAAATTCCAGTAGGACTTGACAGATGCCCCTCTGCAGGACACCTGTGGTTTTGCCAAACTCCCTAAATTTTTCCCTTTCCATACAATTTCTTTTTATATTACGGCAACGAGTTTCTGGTCTTTCTGGTCTTCTACTGCTTCTTCTTATAACTGTCATATCTTAAACTGAAAGTAAAACTGAGAGAATGGGACTGAATGGGGAGCGATCGCTGATGGATCTACTCCACTGTAAACAGAACGCGCAAAATAAGAACGGCTGGTAGCTTTTCCTTCGTCTTCACTTCCGGTTTTCTTCATGGTTCAAATGTGTGCGTCCTGGCACGATTCTGTGTATTTTTCGAGCTGCGTAAAAATTTCAAAAGGGATCAGGAAAATAATGATGCTGTTTTCGAAATTTGGATTAGATTCTCCCCTTCATTTCTTCAATGCAACTTTCTTGTTTGTTGTGCGAACAGGAGGAAAAGAAAGTTGGCACAATATGATGTCACCCCATACATTGCTCTCCAAATGCAAAATTCACACTGATGTAAAAACAACCATTCTCAAAATTAGGCCTAAGACGTAACAAGTGGTCCATAACCTCAGAATGGGACCTACCTTATTCGTTTTATTTCTGCGAATATGCCTGGCTTCATCGTTGCGGCTCTCTTCAACGCGAAGTTATTACGTTTATCTAATCACTCGCCGCGTATAGAGCTGCGGCTGAATAATCGGTGAGGTTCCGGGCCAATCGCGTCAAAAGAAAGGCCACGGTAGATAGCCGGGTCATAGCGTTCGATGCCATTTGTGTGTCAGTCCGCACCATCAGGAGGTCCGCTTGTCTCCCCACTAGGCAATTTCGTCCTTCTCGACTTTTTTCATCGTGTAAGCCTGCATTTTGAAGCAGGATTTGAATGAGTGACGAGCTTTCTAGAATCCTGTGAGACTTATGGCTTCTTGTAACATCGTATACTGCCTGATGGCACTTTAGCGACGCGGTATGCTATTTATTTTTTCCTCACTTTCACTCGCTTCGAATACCGACATGACACTTTTTTTACGCCTCCTGACTCCGGTTCAGGGCATAGGAGAAATACAATAGAACTGAAACTTAATGGGATTTTTTTTCTGATCTCATACTATGCAATGGTATTTAGATTTGTAAATGTGATATTATGGGGGGCAAAACAAAGAAGCTTGGAAGAATATACACATCAATTATAAAGTTCCCCTTCAAAAGAACAAACAACAAACACACGCACACTCACTCGCGAGTCGGAACAAACATTTTTTCGCGCATTTTTATGATTAGAGTAGCGCCTATACGAAGTTATTACGCGATTCCGTTAGTGCAATAGCGATAGACGCAAAATTCATGTGGTAGTACGTCTTGTATTTATGATTCTATTTATGTGCGTACGCTTTTGGAATGTTAGTGGTGCCCGCTGATGTAGTTAGCAGCATATGTGCCGGAGAACGAGAGGTGTGAGCTCGATTCCCGTTGAGGCTCGAAAAGTTCTGCGCCAATAACTGCATTTCGTCGGTTGTATTTATAAAGGCGACAATATCTCATAAAGGTAATGATAAGAGCGGTTGTGCACACTATAACACGTGAATCTGGCATCTAATCGATATTGCTATTAGATGAAAATCGTCTCACGACTTAATAGAACGAAGGAGCCACTTCTAACTCAAGGGATGGCAAGTGCTTTCCACTTTCCCAATTCACAATTCCATCCTTTTTCTGATAAATGAGGACACGCATGAAGCTTCATTGGAAATCATTGCTGTTCCCAAGGAATAATGCTATACTGCCATCTTCCTTTTGTGAAAAATCGGTCTTTTAAGCTGTCCTACTGTGGTATGCTGAATGACTCACTCGAATTGGCTAATATCGTAAGCACCCGTCAGGGATTCCTGGCTACGCCTGTATACGTTCTATAGAAGTTATTACGGATATGTGCTTCTTGCTCCTATCTTTTACGAAGACAATAATAAATGAATGGCAAAACAACAATTAATTCCACCATCTCAGCTGTGCTAATCTCGTCAACAAGGATTTTTGTTAAGGGAAGCGCTAGCTATTTCTTTGTACATATTACCACATTCCTTCTGGATTATTTTTGCGCCTTCTCCGATACCAGATCGCGAATTCGTGAGAGGAAGCTTTAGCTGTCAAAATGCAATCAAAAGACAATGGGTTTGGCAAGGGGTTAGATGGATTTTGAGGACAACAGGAAGGCCCCTAACCTAGCTACTTCATCACTGAAGCTTGTCTCAGCTTCCAAACACTGCTCGCTTCCCGTGTATACTCACTTGGGATTTGCTTTGAGAAATGAGACGTCAGAGCGCAGCAGAAAGCAGCTTGTCGGTGAGGAGGGTTGCCCAGAAAATTTTGACACAAACAAAAAATGCCTATACTACAATAATCGAGAAAATTCTCAGATACTCCTGAACTGTTTGTAGCAGGTGCTCGCCCAATCTCGCAGTTTAAATAGCATTTCTTCGTATTTAAATGCACTGCATTCGACCCAGTGGTTCGGTGTTTCATGTGACCGCGACGAGGCAGCATCGCATCAGTAAACCCCCCCCCCATCATCCCAAATGGCCTGGAATTGGCTTCGGGACAAGTAGCTTCTCTACTTCGGTGATACCAACTTCTTCTACAGGAAATATTAATTGCGGGCGGTGAGGCTACTTTTGAATGGTGCGCTCCTCCTCCGAAACTCGACAGAAATTAACTTCAGCATTCGTGCATAGACTTCGAAAGAAAACAAATCCCCAAATGTATTCTAAAACCCGCGAGCGACTGATTGGTAAGGCCTATTTACTGAATCGCAGGCCATGAATTGGCTCGTGCACTGCTAGCTCCAACTGATGCGATTAAGACAAAAGCACCAACTTCATATCTGAAGCCTGGATGCAGCTCGCATTTCACAATCAAAATTAAAGCCCTTTACTTCCGGGCTCTCAATAATGGAGCGCCGATTGTGGTGATACATATAGTCTACCAACTCGTCGTAAAGGGTGAAACTGATGAATTCAGCCCGTCATGAACCCCTTAACATCCAACTTCGAATTAACTACAGAAGCCTGAAATATTACCTCTTCTGACCTTTCATCTAGCCCGGGATAACATCACCCAATTGTTAGACTTTACTGAGTATAGCCTCCAAGATTTACTCCAGCGTGCATCCTAATCTAGGTCCGTGCATTCAATCGAGGGCGCGAGCGCCTACTTTACTTAGTCAATCACGTAAGAACGTTGCTTATACAGTATCAAGTACACAAGAGGAAGGAAAGGCAAGGTGGGCACTATTGACCTTTCCCTTGAGCGCCTCGCATTTGGCTTTCACTGGAATCTATAGGAACGTTTATTAAGTGTTTAGTCATCCGTGAGTCATTGGGTGTCCAAAACGATGCTCCTTTCGAAGGATACGGGCCGCGACCGAATTGTGCGTTTTCGTGAAAATGGAAGAAGAGGTGCGAAGAGGACCATAATTGCGAAGGAAAACGCCAAGGGAGTCACAGAAAGCACTTAAATTGGTCCTCCTCCCTTGTGAGGTCGACCGTGGTACGACCGCGAGATCCACGTCATACGAGAGGGCACAGACCTCACAAATGCAGCAAATATGGTAGCGGTTACAGCGGTAAAGAGGAAACATTAGCGCTTTCTTCGCACATTGGGATCTAACAGGTCCGTTGTCACGGTCAGGCATGCAATAGCAGATCCCCGGCTTATGAGTTTCATGCATCTAAACAGACAGCTCCACCATACTACGATTCCCTGCCATCTGTTGCGAAAAATGTCCGCTCCGTGGCTGTGAAAGTTCGGAAGCAGCTGTACGATACCAAAAACAAGACATGATGTATTGATCTTCCGAGAATACTGGAAATCATGATCCCGATAAAATGTGCCTTGGGTAAGGCTTTGGATTCAAAATGTCACAACTTCAATTTCGACCAATAATTAGAAATTTCTGTCGATGATATGCAAACTGAAGGTTTATTTTTTTCAATTTCAAATCCAAATTTAAAAGTGCAATCCACAGAATGTCATAAGTGACGTTTGCGAGGAAAAATGTTTAGTTTGACGAGTGCAAAAAAACTTTTTTTTGCGTGTCTGCCGAGAATTCTCCTCATTTCCATGCAACTGTTGATGGATTACTTTGCAACAGATGCCCCGCAGCTACGAGGTGATAGGGTTATTGATGGCGCTTTGGAAGATCTAAGGGAACGCAATATTTCCCACTGAGCTGTTCACCAGCAACAGAAACGGAGGCGACGGGAAGCCAAAGTCCACTTTTTGTAGACAAGTTAGTTATTGATTTGAACTTTGAACGTTTTCATTAAAATAAATGTATAGACAGGTCGCTGTGCCTCTGTAATTGTTAATGCGAGCTAATTTCATGGCGCATCCCAAAATGGTTGGTCAAAACCTACAAGGGGGGGGGGGTCTTTCAGGGCAAGCCGCGCTTTTCAAAACGGTTTCTTGCATATTGTAGGGACGCATGTATGGACCACAAAACCATGTTTCGTTTTCGCTGAACGGTTTTAGTAGTACCAAAAAAGTGGTGAATGATACTCTTGATGGTTCGATCCCCGCGGCGACTAAATTTTGCAATCAAGGTTGGCGGCCACTTGTTGGCTTCAAAATGGTCCTGACGATGAATTTGACATCTGATTTTGATATTTAGCGCGATTTGGCACCAACACCAGCGCCCATTTGAAACCCATTAGGTGACACTCAAAAAATGCAAAATTTAATCGCACGCGGGGGACTCGAAACC